GAATGTAAAGGGGAACTGAAATGGACAGCAGTCCATTCAGCAGAGAGTAGTTGAGCACCTGAACACTGAGGAGAAAGATACTGACACTGAGGAGAAAGATACTGAGAGCGGGGGTTCATCCCTAGGAAACTAGGGGAGGGAGTTTGACAGGAAACTGGAGTCTGGAGGGTTGGGGGTGGAGTTTGGAATTCTCATGTCAACATCTTCCCTCACCCTCTGGGCCATGTTCCCAGGTCCCACACCCTTTGCTGGCTCTGACAGGCTTTTTTAGAGCAGAAAAAAAGAGCAAAAGAGGAAGAGCAAAAATAAAGCCGCCCCCACCTTACATTGATGCTGTGGGAGTTACAAAGATCTCTCTGTTGAATACATCTTAGAGTAGAACATTTCCCCCATACAAAACCAGTGTTCAGATAAGGCTGAGATTCTTGCAGTCCTCAAGCCTAATTAACTCATGATGTCCTGGAAATAGCACTAGTAACAATACAACTCAATTCAGTTAACATTTGCTGAGTGCCTTCTCTGAAGCATGAATTGTGAAAGATGCTAGAGGTTTAAGGAGCTATGAGTGACTTCCTCTGCCCCTGAGAAATTGTCAGCTATGTGATAATTTAGATACTTTGGGGCACCAGTCCCTTATCTTGGCCACTGTTATTACAGAAAGGTGTGTAGGCATGCCTAGAACAGACTGGCCTTCTGTCCCCTTGTTCTCTTTTCTCACCCTGCCATTTGCAGCTGCTCCTTCAACTGAATGTAGCCACTGGCCTCCTGGTTCCTGCCAAGAGAAAATTCAGGAGTTTAGCTTACTCAGTACACTGGAGTTAAAGCTTTGAGTTTGAGTATTCAATAGCCATTTGGCCATGGTAAAGTCACATAGGATCTCTGAAACTAAGGAATAAATTACATCCTCCTTGGTTACCTCACAGGGTTCTTGGGGAATATGAAATGATCTGTATATGCTTAATAAACATAAATCATCACATAATGCAAAAAAAACTGTGCTGATCCTCATAGAGTTGATTAGCTGGATGAGGCCTTAGAGATTCCCTATTACCACCCTATATTTACTGTGTGCCAAGCTCTCTTCTAAGCATTTTGCATGTATTAATCCATTTAATCTGCAGAGCTGCCCAGTGGGGTAGGCACTACTATATCCTCATTTTACACATAATAAGTGGCAGAGCTGAGAATAAAGGCAGTCAGGCTCCAGATCCCATTGTTAACTACCAAACCAAGCTGCCCTCTGTGTGCTTCATTAGTAGCTTCTGTATACTCTTCTGGGAGCACTGGACAGAATTACAATTGCTTGCCTTTGTGATAAATAAGCTATTGGAAGGCAGGGACTTTCATTTACACATACAAATATGTGCATGCACATGCGTGCGCACACACACACTTGCACAGTGCCTGCCACATAGTTGGAGCTCAGTAAACATTTGTTAAATGAATTAATGAATAGATGTCTTCTGGGGAGATGTACAGTAAGTCTAATATTTTACTATGTTCTTCCATTATCTTTTCTTGGCTAACTATGCTCATTTCCTTCAACCATTTCTGGTAGGTGATTGTTTGGAATTTCTCACTGTCCTCATTGCCCTCCTTTGCACTTTCTCAACTTCCACAATGACCCATCTAAAGTGATTTGCTAGGGTGTGAGAATAGTCTAACCAGTGCTAGGTCCCACATGACTATCCTTTTCTGACCCCACAATATATGCTCAATATCCAGGACTCTCAGGAGCCCACTCTTGCCCCTGAAATATTTGTATGCCTGGGCAACTTCTTGACTATGAAACCAATACCCAAGGCGACCCTTAGAACGTTACTAGTGGTCTAGGCAGGTAAGAGTAATCTATTAAACTCTTTCCTTTCCCTTTTCCCTTCCCTTCTCTTGTGAGAGGAGGAAAGAGATTTCCTAAGGTCTTAATGGACGAGGTTATGGTTGATGAGGGAGTTGGTGGAGGAAAATGCATCTTCCAATCTGAAATCCAGAGAATTTGTCAGTTTTGATTCATGGCATGACTACAGTGAGTTTTCTTGTGAGGAAAAGAAAAGCATCAGTATAGCTGGCCTCACATATTGGACTATATTTAAAAGGATGATGGGACAACATGCTTGAATTTGGGTATGTTTTGAAAAAATCTGTAGTACAGTGGACAAAAATATTTGTAGAGTGTGAGGTTCCTGAAATCGGGGAAGTACAGCCTCTGGTTCTGATCGTAGACTAAAATATTGAGAAAAAGCGAGATTCGATTATTAGGTAAACTGGCAATCAAACGAGCAATAAATTCTCTATTACAACCTGGGTTTTCATTTTCAGTTGTTTTGGTTAGAGATTACTTTGAACTACGTGCCCCACCGGACACTTCGAGCTCTGTTCGCCGAGTGGAGGTTAGCGCACCTAGTCCCCAGAGCCACCCCCTGGCTGCCCCGCGGCTCACCAGCTGGAGGGCGGGGCCGCGCCTCGGGAGCGGCGGGTGGAAGTGGAGGAAGGCAGGCAGCCTGGGAGCGCGCAAGGCCTCACGTATGCGCGCCCACGCGCCCACGCACCCGCCCGCACTCCCGGGAAGTCTCGCGATGCCCTAGCCGGCTGCTCCCGCTGCGGGTGGCTCTGGCTGTTGCTGTGGTTGCCTGAGTTGCTGCGGCGGCGGCGGCGGTGGTACTGGTGAAGGTGTCGGCCCTTGGGCGGATGTTGACATTGTATTGTTGTTATTGCTGACGGTAATGGCGGCGACGGCCGGGACCCCATCTCCTCTGTAGCCGGAGCCGAGACAGCCAAGAGCCAACTCTGCGGCCTCTAGCCGGCGGCAGCGACTCCCCTCAGCCTCCGCCGCCTCGCCACCCCGTACCGCGCGCGGCCCCAGCCCCTGGAGTCAGGCTCCTTTGGGCAGGGGGCCTCGGAGGCTCAGGATGGCGGATTTCGACGAGATCTATGAGGAGGAGGAGGACGAGGAGCGGGCCCTGGAGGAGCAGCTGCTCAAGTACTCGCCGGACCCGGTGGTGGTCCGCGGCTCCGGTCACGTCACCGGTGGAGGCCCGGAGGAGGGCGAGGGCGAGGGCGAGGGCGGGAGGTTCAGGGCTGGGTGGGCACCCCTTACCCCTGGAGAGCCCTCTTTCCTCGCTGTCCGTGTTGTGTTGGGGGCCTTCGGGAAAAGTAGACGAACAGGAAGTGAGAACTTGCTTTATTTTCATTTGTTTAGGTCTCGGAAACGGGGACAGACTGCTCTTCCTTCCCCACACACCCCTTTTAGCAAGCCCTGCAGGCCTGGGGCGATGTGACGGATCCCAGAGCGAAGGTTTTTCTTTAGGGTCTGCCTTTCAAGCTTCTTTAGGGACACCCCTTCAAGCTCCGGGTGGAAGTACACGTATTTATGAGGTCCCTCCCCCTTGTTTTATCATCCAGTTACGCTTTGATTCTTTTTCCTCGTCTGGGCCTTTGATCCTAGTGACTTATGGCTTAGAAGCCAGATCTGGGCCTTGTGAGACCCCAGTGACAATCGGAAATGAGTAGTAGTTCACTGCAATTGTGTGTGTTTCACACATACCCACAGGTCTCCCCAGTTTCTTGCAGTCAATTTCTGCAGAACGAATGCAAATTCCTGTAATTGTATATGATAAAAATGTATAAATGAACATACATTTTAAGATATGCAGAATGATACATGTTCACAACTTTTTATTTTTTTAATCTTCGTGATGGACACACTGCTCAGGTCACTGAGGGTTCTCTAAGTCCCTCCTTTGGGCATGAACTCTGGGGTGGCTTCTTCATTTGATAAGGGTTCCTCTAAATCCGTTTAGCAACATTTAAAAGTACGATATTCAAACAATAAGGAAGAAGAGCCTTCTGAAAGGTCATGACTAATAAAAGAATGTGAAGACTTGAACCAAATAATGAGCTGTCCGGAAGCAGGAAGTTTTGTAAAGTTTCTCTGAGTACAAAATTTCGTACAACTTGAACCATTTGTACACTTTTTCATTTTAGATCTCCTGTTTAAATCATAAATCAAACTTTCACTCTTGTCAGATATCTCCACGCTTCACCTTTTTAGTAAAATAAAAGGGCCAGCAAGTCTGAGACTGTAACAGTTTTCATTATATTTTGGTATAGAGTGAGTGGGATGTGCAATGAATAACTTACTGAAACAGTAAGACTTCTCATATGAGATTGTCAGCAGGATCCTTGCATTTCTCAATACATGATATGACCAAACATGTTGTTTGGGTATGCTTATATAATGCTTTGATTTCTTTAGCACCTATTAGTTTATATTCAGGTGACTTAACCAGGGTAAAAACACTGCATAATAGCTGTCACAGCGGCATGAAAAGAATGGAATTTATCACCACAATAAGTTACTTAGTGTTTTAACTGTCATCATCAGCAGAATTAAGAATTATAACCAAATATCATGGATATTAAATCTTTTAACATATTTCACAGAACTATTTTAGTCTTATAGCCTGTCCTTTAATTTTCAGTTTGACTTAGGAACTTTTCACATTGTTTTAAACCTAAGGGGTATATGGGTGCTTAAGGGATTTTCGAACTTTTTCATGTTATCTGCCCAAATTTCCCCCTACAATACTCATGTCAAAGAAAAGCAGGTAAAATTTTATTTGAAAAGGTGCAGCTATAGTTGTAATGTTTCCTCTGTTTAAGGAAAAGAAAAGGTAAGTACTTTGTTGAGTTAAACGGAAAATATAATAGGCAAATAGTGCTTAGAACTAAATAGGTGATCAGTAAATTTGATTGTATTTGGCTACTTAGACAGGTTTACAGGGTGGGAGAGAATTATTAGTGGTTCTCAGTTTTAGCTCCCCATTAGAATTACCTGGGAAGCTTTAAAAAAATACCCCTGCCTTGGGCTCAGACCAGGCCAATTGAAGGCCAACTAGCTGAGTGGGGGTCCCAGGTGTGGATAATTTTTTTAAAAAGTCCCAGTGGTGATTCTTGTAGCTAGGATTTCAAACCACTGTTCCAGAGTAGTATAAAGAGGAACTATATGCCACCAGTAAACAGTATTCCTTTCCACATTGGGAGTTAATATTTCTATGATTTCCCTCAACCACTTGCCTCTCTTCCTGTTAACCTTGGCACTAGGCTCTAGGTTGAAATGTAGTCTGCCATTTCTTGGGTAAATTATTAATCTGTGCCTCTTCAGTTAAGATAGGGATAGTTATAGTCCCTAATTTAAGTTTAATGAGGATTAAATGAGACCATACATGCGAAGAATTCATCACACTGTGTTACTCTGCTCAATAAATATTAGCCTTTGTTAATTTTCCTCTACACAGTATTCCACTTTGAGAGACATAGGTGTAAAGCACAGTACTAAGAAATAGGAACTGCCGTTTTTGAACCTGGCAGTGATTCACTTTAGTCTTTTTTTTTTTTTCTATTTCTAAACTATTTATGTAGGTTAAATTACTATGTGAAGTATTTCAGTGAGAATTATAAGACTCTGCATTGAAAACCTAAGCCTGTTTTGTGGTGACATAAATAAGTATAGTAATAGTAATACAAACCTTTTTTTTTTTTGATATGACTGTCACACATGATTCACAGGCATACCATGCCAAAGGTAGTCCAGTTAGCACCTATAAAAGTTTTTGAAATTAGTGCTTACCAGTTACTGTAACTGTTGAGCATGGTCAGTTTTTCTTGCCTTTAAATAAATCGGAAGTTTTTAAAATAGTTACAGTAAGACTGGTTAAGCTAATCACTACCTCTGCACCCCTACTTTTTTTTTTTTTTAACTAAGGAGCTGTTCAGAGCAGTCTTCCCTTACCAATTTGAAAGTAAATGATGGTGTAAACTGAATCATTTGTAATCCAGATCATTCTGAATTTATGGATATAGATTTATCCATATGTATTTTTCAGATTTCACTTTTGAGTAGACCTTTATATTTCTCCTCTTTTCCTCTCTACTTTGATATATCATATTTTAGTATTCTTACTTTATTTTAGAAATCACTATATTCTCATATGATATTATTTGGCATGTCATTTTAGTGATGTGAAAAAGTACGTTACTTTCTATTTTCCTACTACATAAGCAGGACTTGATTAGTTTGGGGCATAATCAGATTTTTGGAACATAAGGATGTAAAAGGTATAGTTTGCCTAAGCAAAGTCTATTTTATTGGGGTTTTTAATACAAATATTTTAATATTGACTCCAAATCAGACTTATACTTTGTACTTCCATAATTCTTTCTTGATATTCTTTTGAATGAGTATATAATATTATTTTTCATTGTTAGATTTGCATGTAGTGATGTGGAACAAGATGGCAGGTCCAACAGGGAGAAATCTTGTGCAGAAGCATATTTTGAGAAAAAGTGGTATTTGAAAGAAGAGGGAAATGATAAGTTCCTATTACTACAAAATATTTATATACATATAATTTAAAAGGCTTGAGTTCACACTTCAGTTAAAAGTAGATTTCCTGTTTGTGCATGGTGATGGGAAGGGGGTGTTTCTCATTTTATTATGTAATGAAGATGAGGAAAAAGGTAATTAATTTATTAGGTAGTATTGGCCAGATTGGTTAATATTTTAAAATTGTGGAGTTTTTTAACCCTCAAAATACATTTGTACAAAATATAATGATTTGTTGAAGACTGATTTTCCACAGTGATAATAGCGCTAAAAGATGTATTCATCTAAAATTAGAATTTAAAACTAGTTTTAGGCCAATATTTCCTAGCTAATTGATAATTATAACTGACAATATTTGCTCCTCCTATATCAGAATCAAACTTGGGACTTTCCTAAGGCATGTATAATCTTTGACTTCTAACTTAAATCTTGTCATAGAGCCAAGTTATTTTGCTGAGGTTTGTTTCTAATATTATTCTTTTTCTAATTCATTAAATTATCCTGTCTTTATGTACTCTCTTCTGAAGTATAATCTTGACACTAATAATTCCTTATTCTTCACCAGTTTTTATCACTGGCTGTGGATCATCACTCTCTTTGCTTGTCTTCGTCTCAGATATGCTGTGGAAAATTGAAAGGTTTAGAAATGTGACTTGAATAAAAATATCTGGCAACTACTTCGTAGTACAATAGGATCTTTACATAGGAAACATCACAAGAACACCTTAGTATTTATTGAACTTTCTAATGGTAGATTCAATAAAAAAATTGTCTGTCTTAAAGTGTATTGGTATTTCAAGACTGCTACTAGATGTTTTGGTTAGCAACAAAGAGACCTGAACATGATTTGCTCAGTTAACAGAATCACTTCAGTTAAACGGTTTTTAATGTCATGACTCCCACCTTCTTTCCCCCCACTCAGCATAATATATAAGACATACTCCATTTTAAAAGATCAGCCTTTTTGTTTTGAAATTCTTGTAGACCTCATTGATATTTCTCCACAAGGCTGTAAAGTTCTTTGAGGATTGTGCTTATTGGTCTTCATTTCTCCACTAAATATGCTGCCTGGAATATTATAGATCCTGAAATGTCCTCTACAGTTTAGAGTCTAAATAGATAAAGTAATTGCATACATTGGATGTCAGAATTGCCAAAGGAATAACTATTTCTTCCCTTTCTGTACCTCCTAATAATGAAGGCAAATGATATTTTACAGTAGAACTCTTACAGAATCACATTCAAAAGATAGATGGCTCCTCTTTATTTTTAAACAAAATTTGGTAACTGTGAGGAAATTGTCAAATTAAGGTAGACAATTTTTTTCCCCCAGAGATTTTTGGTACTCCTTGTAATTTGAAAGGAAATTAGTTTGATTTATAGTATAGCATCGAACATATCTTTGACAATACAAAGAAAAAAATACTAACCCTTTTAATTGGGCCAACTACCAAAACTTTTCAATGAGTAAACTCTTGATAAAATGAGAAATATGGTGGTAAATTGAAGTTATAGAATTTTACTGTATTTAGTTTTGAAATTTGCAAGGTGTTTTGGTCCAGACAGTTCACTGTTGGATTTCTGCCTACCAACAGATGTGAAATTGACTAGTACTTAAAATTTTATATGCCTGACTAAATGGAATACAGGGACTAAATGGTGAAAAGTAAATTATATGAAATTGTTTATAATAGTAAATAACCAAATACTATTATTCTAAATAATATTACTCTAAATAGTCTAAAGAATAATATTTTTTATTTTTGATTATTTTAAGTTTATTGGGGTAACATTGATTAATACAATATATAATTTTCAGGTATACATTATAATTTGACATCTGTATATTCTATTGTGTTTACCACCCAAAGAAGAATAATAATATGAGAGCTGCTTTTAAATTCCAACTTGAGTTTATATTCCTAACAGATTAAAAGCCAGGATATTAAACCAGCTATATACTCGGAGGGGACTCTTTTAAGTTTCTTTAGTATCTATGTTTGGTTTAGCATTCTAATCGCTAAAACTAAGATTTCATTCTCAGTAAAATTAAGCTTAGAGTATAACATGTAGCAACAGATGCTCTTAGGTATCCTTACTCTAGTATCTTCTGTGTAAGATTTTTTGTGCATGAGTTTTCATAATTTGTTTTCAGAATTTATTTATAAAATCAGATCTTACACCAGTGTTTTCATGTTCATGCAGTCTAGCCTCACCCCAGTGTAAGATTTCTTAAACTTGCCTGATGATGAGAATCACTAGGACATTTAAAAATATATACATTTTAGGTTCTTACCCCAGACATCCCCAACCAGAATATTTAGAGGAAGAGCCTAGGAACTTTTATTAATAAGAGCTTAAGTGATTCTCATATCAGACATATTTGGAAAGCAGTGTATGGTACTGTGG